AAGTTTGGCTCTGGAGGTGCCCTCCCCACCTTCAGAGGGAGCCCCAGGAGCATGGTGAGAAGCAGGAGGTGACGACATGAGAGGGCTTGCCCAAGTGCCCCCTGCCCCCGCCCCCAGAGGAAGCCCTAATCATGCAGCAGCCCTGGGTCTCCGCCGGCCTCATTACAGAGAAGAAAACTGAACAAAAACAACACTGCCCTTGACTGGATTCCGACTCGCAGGCCCCCGAATAGAGTGTCCAGGGCTGTGCGTCTGCGCTAGAGCAGGCAGCCTCGTCTTCCTCCTGAGGAATGGCAGGCGGGTTTGAACCTCTGATGTTGTGGTTAGTTGTTGGGAGCCAGTGAGGCGTTTCTGACTCTTGGTGACCCCGTGCACAGCAGGAGGACACACCACCTGGTCCTGCGCCGTCCTCACCCTGGTTCCCGCACCTCAGTCCTCAGCTGCAGCCGCTGTGTCCGTCCCCCTTGTCCAGGGCCTTCCTCTTTGTCGCTGCCCCTCCACATTCCCAAAGGTGATGTCCTTCTCCAGGGACTGGTCTCTCCCGACCACACAGCCAAAGCACGCGAGAGACGTCTGGCCATCCTTGCCTCTGAGGAGCATTCTGGCCCCACTGCTTCCCAGTTTGCCCTTCTGTCCATCTGTCCATGGCTTTCAGCATCCTTCTCCGGCACCACGATTCAGATGTATCGATTCTTCTTTGGTCTTCTTTCTTCCATGCCCACCGTTTCACGGGTGGTTAGTGGCAGCACCCCTAACACGGGGATTCTTAATGAGAGAGAAACCCGGGCAGACCCACTCACTCACTGTCGCTGAGTCCGTCCCTACAAACAGCCACCCCAAAGGGTTGAGGGGACTGGCCCCCTGGAGTCTCCGAGGCTGTGAACCTTTATAGGAGCGGGCCGCCTCCCCTTTCTCCCGAGGTCTCACACAGTGACTGAGGCGCGATCTTGAATTTCGCTAGCTCTGATTTGTGTTGCAAGTTGTAAGGGAATGGGGTCTAGAGGTGCTCTGAGAGCCCGCTGATACCTGGAAAAGCCGCATGTCTTGGTAAGGGCCCCTGCATCCTGCTCTTTATTGCCATGCAAACATGATGGCTTCTGGGCGACATAAAAGATTGCTGTTACCGTGGGGCACACGGCTCCAGAGGGGTCTGCAGAATGGCGTGTGGTGTGCTCATTAACTCCGCGTCCCCCACCCCCACCCCCGGATTCGCGCCATTGAAACAAGCCCACTTGGGGGTGGGCACTGCTGTACACACGCCCCCCCTGTAGGCTTGGAGGAGAGCGTAGAACACGGCCGTATCTGAAGAATGATTTCTGTGACCATGGGGACAGAAACATCCGGCCAGGAACAGAAGGCAGAACAATGGCTCCGTCTGGGCTCTGGTTTCAGGGACTGGGGAGCTCGACTCAGGGACCGGCCGGGCACCTCATAAAGATCGGCTCTCCTGTTGATCGGGGACGTGGAGGGCTTCTATGTTAGCCTAGTGTGGCACAGTGCAATAATGGAAGCATGGAATTCCGAAACAACCGGGCAGTGTCTTAAGCAGTGACAGGGTGGGAGAGACACAGGCAATTGGAACCATTGCTGGATGGAAGGAAATCGAGTTTCACGGCTGTCAGCCAGCTCTCAGGAGAGACCTTCTTTAAGAAATGACATCCATCGATTTTTCAGTGGTGTGCAGTGTCAGCCGAACATGGAGAGCCCAGAGAAGACACACTGGTAGGGTGGGGGTTGGGGGCGGATGGGTGAGGAAACAGAAGAAAGTCCTATTTAATAGGAAACAGACAAGCGGCTCCTTCTCGTACTCTGTAGCTTGAGGACTGAAGCAGAAGGAACACCCAGGCCGGCCGTTCGCGCCGAGCAGACGAAATCTACCCAGGGACCCACCCGGCGGGCCGGGCTGGGAAGAGACGATGGATGGGATCGAGGCAGCGCCCAGCCGGTTTGGGTGCATTTCTCAGTGACACCTTTCTGGTCTTCTCCGTCTCGTGAGCAAGGCGGGCAGCGGCCCCGTGAGTCGGAATGAGCTTGAGGGCGGCCTGTTGGCTGGTTGTCGGTGGTCACTGAGAACTTGACAGGGGACAAAGCCCACAGCAGGTGACCCGGCCCTGTGATTCTGGTGTGTCCGATGGAGAACATGCTCATGCAACGCAGGCTGAGCTCGGTTAAATGGAAAGGTGATGGCATGTGAAAGCTCATGTGATACGAAGGTGGCCCAGATTGGATCTCTGGCTGCTCATTTAACTTTTAAAGTAGGAGCTGGAGGGAAACTGCTGCTTCTACGGTCTCGTGTGCCCACGTGGCTCTGAGCGTTGGCTGGAGAGAGGAGCGCGGCCGTGTCATTGCAGATCTGCCGGCCCATACTCGCCAAACCATCTTTGGAGGAGAAATGGGTATATTCTATTGACATTAGCTTAAAAATTTTTTTAAAGCAAATAAAATAAAGTGTGAATGTTTTTAAAAAATTGCAGGTAGTCCCAAACTGATGACTCACTCCAGTTACCGTGAACGGCTTGTACTATCGTCCATTTGTTATTTTGTATCTTGGTACCTCTCATTGGCAATAACCTGTGCTACAGACAGAGTGATTTGTTGATGATGCCATTCTCATGCCAGCCACCAGAGAAAAATAAAATAGGATCATTTTTATTTTATTATCAATAAGGATCTTATAAGGCCATACTAATGAACGCTAGACAACTGAAGGTAGACATTCCAGACACTCCAGCAATCGATGTGCACCCTAACAAATAAGGGTGCTAAATCTGCTTCCCCAGTCAAGACTCAGCTGAGACCTCGGCCCCGGCCAGCACCTTGGTTGCAGCCTCGTGTCTCAGTTCTCTGTCCCTGCAGTAACAGAGATGCTGTGGGAACATGGACCCTCCGACAGTGTCTGAGACAAGACACCTGAGTTCACAGTGCTGGAGGAAGGCTCTCCCGTGTTGGTTCTGAGAGAAGCACCTTGCGTCCTTTCAGCTCTGTGGGCCTGGCATCCCTTGGAGACCTCCACGGGTCTTGGCATCCATCTTCCCCTGGGTCTAAGAGGTTCTCAGCGCAGGACCCCTGGATCCAAGGGACAAGCTACGCTCCTAGCTCTTCTTTCTTAGTGGTTCTGAGGTCCTTCTGCTCTCTGTTCCCCACGCTCTCCCTCTCCCGTTAGCTCTTGTAAGAGAAAAGGCGATGAAGGAGGGCCGCGTCCAAGGGGAACTCCTCTCATATCAGACTACCTGGGTCAGGGTGGTCATGGAAGTAAGGGCCACTCTGACCCTGCCTCTTTAGCATCACACCCACACATACCCACACACCCCTGAACACTCTTTCACGTACACCTAATCCTCCATTGTGAACGTAACAAGCAGAGCCTGATCCTCATGAAGGTAACGTGGCATCCGCAGTCCCCTTAGATGTATGCAGAAGCTGGCCAATGGGGCAGGAAGCCCACGGAAGGATAAATGCATGTTCAGTAGGGTGCCGGTACAGAATAATGGCTATATTCTGGACTTCCAGAAGAATGAGCACTTCAGCCGGAATGCTCCCCAGAGGCGAGGATGGCGAGGCATCTCTCACGTGCTTTGGGCATGTGGTCAGGAGGGCATTCCTGCTGGGTCAAGGGAGCGGGCCATCACAAAGAGGGAGTTCCTCGAGGAGATGACTGACTCAGTGGCTACAACAAGGGGCTCAAACAGAGCAGCCGCTGCGAGGACGGTGCGGGGCCGGGGGAGCATTCCCTTCTGCTGTGCATATGCTCACTCTGAGTCAGAGCCGACTTGAGGTTGCCTCTGGGCTGCGAGCCGCAGGGTTGGCGGTTCAAAACCACCAGCAGCTCCTTGGGAGAAAGATTGGGCTTTCTACTCCCGCCAGCAGTTACAATCTTGGAAACCCACTAGGGGTCACTGTGGGTCAGCACTGACTCCATGGCAGCGAGTTGGGTTGCGTTTTTAACAGCGACAACAACAAGACTACGGCACACAGGCCCCCACGGCGCTCTCTCTCTTGCACGGTGACAACAGCAGCTTAACACGGTGTGTGTGCCTGATCTCAGGCTTCGTGAGTCGATGACTTGGCTCTTGGTGGCACTGAGGGCCCGTGGATCTCTGGGAGACTGGCAGGATGGCTGGCCGACCAACCAGTCCCTTTGCTGGGCCACAGGGGCGCGCAATACTATTGGGTGAATTTTCAAGCCACTTTTTGCCTAGTAAACAGACCCATCCCTTGCAAGACTGTGGCCCAGCCAATCATTATGTGTGAGGTAAAGGAATGGTAGGAGCCCTGATGGTGTCGTGGTCATACTCTGGGCCGCTAACGGAGAGGTTAACGGTTTGAAACCACCAGCTTCTCCGTGGGAGAAAGAGGAGGCTTTCTACCCTTGTAAAGAGATGCAGTCTCAGGAATCCACAGGGCCTTTGCACCCTGTTGCATAGGCTCTCGATGACTTAGAATCGAGGCGAGGTTGTGAGTCTGGTTTCTGAGCGGAGCAGTGGGTCCAAAAGCCACACAGAAACAACTGGATGCACCCACTAACCGCAGCGCATCTCCTGTGGAGCAAATGCTCAGGCTCTCCCTTCAGCTTCACAGAGGAACGTGGACAGCGTAGGCCCACGGTGCCAGGGTCCCGTAGTGCTGAGCAGTCTGACTGTCCCAGGCTTGAGGCTGTCCAGATGTCCCACAGCGAATCTGGGGCTGGGCACGCGCTGCTCTCCTCTGTGCCCCCCCCCCC